TCTGGCTTCTTCTCAAGAATGTTTCCTTCAGTCTTTGCTCTGTAAGTTCTCTCCCTTGAATCATGCATTCCCGGTGATCTTAATTTGTATCTGTTCCCTTTTACCTGTTTTCTTCTCTGTCCATTCTAGACACCATGTTCTTCTGGCTGAATTTTGGGGAATGTTGTTTCACTACAGGATCATAATTGTCCAAATGCTTTCTTCTTAAATTTTGACCTATCCCATTCGATGTAGGTGTTTTTCTGTTTTCTCTCTCTCAGGTACCAAATAGTACCATTTTTGAATCTCTATGCTTGGGTTGTTACCCCCTCCAATTTCTTTCTTCTTTTAAAAAAATATTTTATTTTTTAGATAGAGGGGAAGGAGAGAGGTAGAATCATCAGTGTGTGGTTCCCTCCCCCGCACCCCCTACTGGGGACCTGGCCCAAAACCCAGGCGTGTGCCCTGACTGGGAATCAAATTGGTAACCCTTTGGTTTTTAGGCCCGTGCTCAATCCACTGAGTCACATCAGCCAGGGCTCCAGTTTCTTCTTAATTTCACTGCCCGACTCTTGTTCTTTCATTATTTCCACCAATGTTTTTCTATAATACCCTGCTTGGGCAAGCCAGCAGTCAAGGGAAAGATTTTGCTCCCTAGAGTATTTCATACTCTTCTTGATTATTTTGAGTTATCAGTTGTCTTGCTGCTTTTGTATGTACACCACCTAGATTCTCTGAGGGACAGAATTTTATAGTGTGACCATCTTTTTTACAATGAACACATTTAAACAGGAGCTTACCCTGACTACTGACACCAAGAAAAGATAAGTGTTTTTATTTACTTTGGCGTAAGAACTGTGATTTTACTCCTATCATTCCTAGGTGGAGCCTGTGAACTCTGAAAGTTGACCTACCAAAATCAATAACTAGTTTTTTTTTAACAGTGTTGGGCATTTTCAAAATAATACTTTGTATTGCAAGTATGGATAGAGCTAAAAAAAACATTTGTCAGTGTAGACATGCTACTTGAGGTGTCACTTCAGCAGAAAAACTTTAAACCCAAGGTTCTTCCTCTCAGTAATTCCAAACTATATGATGTGAAGATAACTTATTTATCAATATTTTTTTCTCCAGTGGGTTCTGCTGGCCTGAAGCAATCCTGGGGTCTCTAGAAGCTTTAACCTAGTCCAACCTGAGATAAAAAAGCAAAGATAGATTAAAATGTGGGAGGTGTCAGAACATATCTCCCATACTGACTGAACCAAAAAACCCAACTGTCTTGGCCAAGGCCAACAATATTTCCATTTAGAAAGAGAAAACCTGCTAACAGGTACGACTTCAGCAGGGTCACTTCCCCATGGAAACTGCTGCATTCCTATGGTGGACAATAATAAAATCAATGCTTTTTAAATAAGAGCATATCATCCTTTCATAGAAATTAAAAGCATACTTGTCTTGTAGACTCAAATGCAAACCATTCTGAATCTTGTGTCAGGGACGGAAGAGGGGAGACAGGTTTCAGGAAGCATTGCCCAAGCACATCTATGTCAGATTACTTAATTCCGATTACTTAATTCCCACCCTCCACTCTGAGATAATCCTAGACCGACTGCTACCACTTCATTCTGTTTCTGCAATTTCTTGATCCAGGCCCTCTCTGCCTCTGTCAACACATACAGCATCTCTGCCTTCTAATCTTTGTTCTGAAATTCTATTCTTCCTTATACAGCCATTCATCCTTCACCTTTAATCCATTCCCTGTAGAACCCCTTATGATAGGAATTAGTGCTTTATTTATAGGCCAGGCTGATGGCAACACAAGTGAAGACTACCAACTTTTTATGCCATCCCTGGTCTAATCTAAATTTACTGTGAGGTCATACATAAGTTACTGTAGATGCCTAGCATTTCACCTTTATGCATTTTTTTAAAGTACTATTTATGGCTAAGAGTATGAGCTATGAAGTTTGATAGGCCTATGCTTGAATCCTAATACTACCACTTTCTAGGTGTGACACAGGGCAAGCAACTTAATCTCTTTACATCAGTTTCCACATTTCTAAAATGGAGATATAAGACAAAAATATGCCTCTTGGGTTAATAAAAAATAAATGTGAATTAGATTAAAGAGCTTAGCATAATCCTTGATATATGGTAGGTTCTCAATAAATGCCAGTTGTCTGTTCTCTGAACTCTCTATAAAATCTTTTGAATAAGTGTTTTTGCCTTCTTCTGAACACTTAATATTTTTAATTCTACAACTCAATTGAAAATAAATCATGGTTTACATTGTGATTTCTGTATTCATATATCACTTTTAAAGTTCTGATACTGAAATTCAGACTCATAAATTGTGGGATTTATAATTTATATCTACAACTACAATGATGTTCTCATATTATCAGGAAGAATCTGATAGAAAATATTTTTTTAAAGATTTTATTTATTTATTTATTTATTTATTTTAGAGAGGGAAGGGAGGGAGATAGAAAGAGAAATATCAATGTGCGGTTGCTGGGGGTAATGGCCTGCAATCCAGGTATGTGGCCTGACTGGGAATCGAACCTGCGACACTTTGGTTCGCAGCCCGAGCTCAATCCACTGAGCTACACCAGCCAGGGTGACAGAAAATATTTGATCTCACTGACTTCTTACATGAGTGAGAACTAAGAAATAAATTCTTATTTCCCTTAGTCTGTATCTCTATTTGGAATTTTAAAAAATGGCCAACTTTCTTTTATTTCTCAGTACACCACATCTAGCATAGTACTTAATATTAGTCTGTGATTCCAAGCTCTCATAATTAATGATTTGTTAATCAGTGATTATCCTTATCACATATCTGAGCATCTTTCTCTTATGATCCCCATAATATTGTACCTAATTTTTATTAAAACATTTACCAGCCTTTCTTGAAGTATACAGGCATATTTGTTTTATATGCCTGTCCTATGTTCTCACATTATGTCCTATTAATATACTTTTATTGTATTCTAAATAGTTATTTGTACTTTTTAAGGTCGGAGAACAGTTTTCAACTTTGCAGCCCCAGCCTCAACTCAAAGACTGGTGTAGGTACTTAATAAATACTAACTAAACTGATTGTGAGCTTTCAGTGGAAAAGGACCATGACTCATATATAATACTCATGTTCCTTTACCACATTAGGACAGTATTCAACTATGGTGGACCTTCAATAAAAAGGGAAAGTTGGTGAGGGAAGAGCACTAATTTAAATGTTCATTTTCAAAGGAGACAGACACACAGAGAAGTGAGGATAAAAATTTTCTACCTACATTATGGTCTCAGCAACAGACTTCCCTTTGTAAGACAGACAACGTGACACTCAGGTAAATGAAATTATGGGGCTTGTCACTCTTTGGTAGCTTGCACGGAGTGTAACAGGAAATAAAAACTTGATACTACTGACTTACCATGAAATAAAATTAAAATAAGAGGTACTAACAAACTGATAAAAAGAACTCACATACTGACCATTTCTTCGTAAGCATGTTGCAAGCACCAGCCGTTCCAGTTCCTGCATGTATTCAATACAAGAAATGGGCTTGACCACAACTTCTGTCAATGCAGATCACCCCGCTGCAGGAATCTGGCTGGCACTGACCAGCTCCAGTATGCTTCCATTAAAGACTCATATTGGGACCAGCAAGGACACTGACTGCACGTCCACAGACTCTCCCCCTGATCTCTTTGTTCTCCTTGTCCCTCTCCTTCCTTATAAAAACCTCTGCCTGCATTGAGATGTTAAGATGGGCTCTGAGATGAGAGTCCATCTTCCATGTTGCTGGCACCTGAATAGAACCACTCTCCTTTACATCAGCACCTGCCTCTCCAGTATTGACTTTCAAAGTGGCAGGAAGCTGGACTTGCATTCAGTTACAAGAGTTTTAACTCCTTCACTGTTGCTTGTCTTTTCATTATTGCAGAGAAAAAAAGATCGGAGCTTTTTAGGGAGAGACCACAGCTTGTCTCAGAGGAGAAAATAGTGATGGCTCCACATTTGTATGCAGTAGCTTAAAAACACAACTACCTGGTTGGATAGGGATGGAAGGGCTGAGAGGTAACTATGAAACCCATCCAGAAGCTGTCCCTTCAAGATAAGTTTCTAGTTTAGATTGTACGTACGGATGATTGAAAGTAGCAGTGTTTTCTAAAGCTTTTGTCTCCTGATTTATAAAAGATTTGGGAAATGTCAACTGTCCACCTAATGGATGATGACGATGATTGAGAGCTGGTTGGACGAGAGTCAAAGGAATAGGCAAATGAAAGCCAAACTTGGCCTAAGTCTTAGTGAAATCCTACCCAAAGATAATACCTTGACTAGTGTGTCTACGGAGGTGTGGCCCAACCTCTTCTCTTTCGCCATTTACTAAGTCCTGAGCCCTATCCCATGCCATCACCACTTCCTTTCATTCCCAGGGAGTAAGCATTCCACTGCTTTCACCCTCACCACTTCTGGCCCCTTAAGAAGCCGAAACACCCCCTACAGAGGCCCGAAAGAACGCCCAAAACACGAGAGCCAGGTTGGACTCAGCAGAAAGCCCTAATTTGGCCCTCGAAGCCCAAGGAGCGCTAAAACTCTACCTCCCCAAATGTTTAGTTCTTTTTTAAATTACCGCGCAGCCTCAAAGGGGAAAGACAGACTCAAGAAAGACAGGAGTTGTAGTTCTCTGTTCCTAAGAAATTAATGTTCGGCAAGGTTAGTATGATTTTCGGGGGAACGCTCCCCTTCCTCCCGCACTGGGTCCCTGTAAGAAGCGAGAATAAGAAAATTAACATCCCAGGTTTGGGTCCTAAGAGGAAAATTAGCGGTAGGCAAATCAATTACCTGTTTTCTTATCCGAAATCGCAGAATCAAGCTGAACGGGCATACTCTTACCTCCCTTCACACACTCGCCACCCCCGGGCCACGGTTCTCCGATCACGTTTGCGCTTAATTATGACGTCACAGCCAATCCTGAGCCGTAACGCATCGACGCTCTAGCCCGTCTCATGCTCGCAGCCCCTCTGCCAGCCCAGAGGCGGTGCTCTAGCCCACGGAGTTGGCTGGCTCTTTCGCCAGCCCCAAGTCTGGCTGTACCTGAAGCGGGCTGGGAATTCCGGACTCTCGCACTCCGTAGTCGCAGAGGCACAAGACGTGCTTGGGAGGGAGGTTCGAATCACCTATGCTTACGTCCAGGAACGGAACAAGAATGAGCCCTGAGTGAGGAGGGGGCTTCTCTCTTTTTTATTAATAACTTTCTCATTCCATTCCCAGCCCTTGACCACTTGTCCGTCATGGACCTCGCCCGTACCTGCTCCAGCTTCCAGTCAGACCTGGATTTCTGTCCTGATTGCGGCTCAGTCCTGCCTCTGCCAGGATCTCAGGATACAGTCACCTGCACTCGCTGTGGCTTCTCCATCAACGTGCGAGGTGAGGGACTCCTACTCAGCAGCCCCGCCTGAGGGCCCATCGAGGAAGGGTCGGAGGCCTGGGGACCTCTAGATCGGTTCGATTGTAGTGGGACACTAAAGCAGGAGATCAAGCACTTACATTTTCCGTCTGGGGTTGAAACCTGAAGGGAAGGATGTGGGGCCACCTGGCCTAACCGAGAGGGAATTGCGCGCATCAGCTCCTCCGCGTGTTTAACCAGTTCTTAACTGCCTGTGCAGACTTCGAAGGGAAGGTTGTGAAAACCTCAGTCGTGTTACACAAACTAGGGACAACCATGCCTATGTCGATGGAGGAAGGACCTGAATTCCAGGGACCCGTGGTAAGTTAATGACATCAAGGACGGGACCCACGGGGAGGGTGGGAAAGAAACGGAGATCTGGAGAGTTTTGTACACAATTCCAAGAAAGAAGATGGGCCTTTAGAGCAGCAGTGCCCTGGAAGTGTATCAGCTACTTCCTGTGACAAGTAGGGGGATATGACTAACCCACCAGTTGCTTCCCAGGTTGACAGGCGCTGCTCTCGTTGTGGTCATGAGGGAATGGCATACCACACCAGACAGATGCGTTCAGCCGATGAAGGGCAGACTGTCTTCTACACCTGTACCAACTGCAAGTGCGTATCCTTTCCCTTGCTTCTGCCTGTTCTCAGCTTGTTTGTTAACTAAACAAATCTAGTGATTTACTGTTTTGTACTGAATAAACAATTGTTTCTTTTGGTCCCATTCATGTTTTATAGAGTTCTAGTAATAGGGAGATTTGTCGTTTTATTTTTTAAAATTATACTTTTCTTGTCATTTTAACACCAGTGAACTAAAGATTTTAACATATTTTTAAAGGGCAATGAAAAATACAGAAGATAAGTTTTGCTTAGTGGTCAGCATGTTATTTTGGAATCTTCCACTATACTCAAGGAAGTTGTTCCTTAGTGAGAATTAGTCATGCATGATTTAAGGAACGCAGATGTCTAAATGTCTTTGGTATCTTGCAGTTTTACTAATATATCAAGATATGACTTTTAAAATTTTGAGGGGGATATGTTGGATTTTTTGACAATGAGGTTTGATTTTTTTTTAATTTTCCCATCAACTTTGTAAAACTATCAGCCATTATCTCATTGAATATTGTTTTTTTTTCCATGTTCTCAAGTCTCACAACCTGGAACGCTAATTAATTAGTTGTTTATTAGGCTGTCTATCCTCTATTCCTCTCACCCTGTTTTTTATATTTTCCATCTCTTTCTGTCTATGCTGCTTCTGGGTAATTTCTTCAGGTCTCTCTTCCAGGTCACTGATTCTGTCTTCAGTTTGTTTCAATTACTATTACATTAAAGGATGTAAGAGCAGATGTAATAGTTATTACATTACTATTACATTAAAATTTTTTTGAGTTATTACATTACTAATACATTACTATTACATTAAAATTTTTTTGAGTTCTACTTGATTTTTGAAATTTCCTCAGTCATTTTTAATAGTTTCCAATTCCTTAATCATATTTTGAATTGTTTCTTTTGTTCTTAAAAGATGTATTACCTTTAAATATATTAAACATGCTATTCATATTGTATCTCATAATTCTGATACCCACAGTTTTTGTGGGTCTGATGCTGAGTATGGGAATTCTTTGAGGCACAAAGTTAATGCTGTATTCTCAACATTTGTGTTTCCTGTTCAGGTGCTTTGAGGCACTACCAAGCCAGAATCACTTTAAATAAATTCTTAGTTTCAGGTTGTTTTCGGACTACATAGGTAGTATGATTCAGGCTGCAAATTCATGTACGGGCCAGCTTATTGTTAGAAAATCTCAAGGGAAATTTTTCTTCCTCTACCAGTGACACAAATTCCCCTTCTGCAGAGATTTTTTTTTCTTAATTCACCTTTACACAGAAGGGTAGCCCCTTGGGGGTCCCAAGTTTATGCAGAGTATTTCCTAGCAGACATTGTAGGTTTGTCTCAGGTTCTTCCATATGGCTGTCAAAACAGCAAGAGGACCATGGTAGCAGGGGTTTCAATTTTAACTTAACCTATTTAATTTCCTGCTCTTACGTAATTTACCCAATGTGAAGACTGCCTTTACTGCCTTGCCATCTCATCAGTGGATTAAAAACATTTGTTAGATATATCTTTTGAGAGTATTTTTCCCAGTCTTACCTATTTATTTTAACTTAAAATTTGTTTAGTTCTAGTTTGTCCTTTAAAAAAATCTTTTATGGCTAGTGCTTTTTTTTGTCCCAAGAAATCTCTGCATTCTTCAAGGTCATAGTTCATTAGATATATATTTAATCCCAGCATTTTTAGCTGGCTTGAAGTTGAAGGATTGTTTAGGGGAACTAGTCTTCCACAGGTCACAAATAAAAGTCCTTCTTTGATTATTTGAGTATTTCACCTTACATTGCTAGAACTTCTTCCTTTGGTCCAATATAATAAAGAAATCCTTTCTTTCTCTATAGGTTCCAGGAGAAGGAAGACTCTTGATTTTTTATTTTCTGGGCAACTCAACTATCCCTCCCTCTCCTCTTCCTTAGAAGGTGAAGGATATTGGGTTCCTAGATCCTTGTCCATCCTCTGGTTGCAATATTTGCTTCCAGAGGAGAAGCAGATCATCATGTGGGGATTACCATTGTGCCCAGAGTGCTCCTATTCCTAGTTGAGTTTTCCTATTAAAATTATATTTTTCAATAAGACCCAGGCATATGAGTATTAATTATAATTTGTCTTGTTCCAGATGTAATTTAAATGAGCTTATAGAGATATACTTGTTCTTTCAACAAATATAGCAGCTACAAAAAGATGTAAATTAGTAGATGAGAAATAGAAAAAAAAATGAAGCCAGCAATGAGGCTAATATTACAAAAGCAATTATAAGTATTTTCTCACTATCTGAATCTGTTTGGTTCCTGAGTATAAAGAAACAAAAAAAATGGGAGTTTGGATACTGAGAGATTCAAAGGGAAATTTAACCAGATCTATTTGATATGTAAGTTTGGACAACAAAATACATGATACTAAGTATATACTTACTACAGGTGAACATTTTGGATTTATTGCTTTTAAGATAAATGTAATTGTAATGGATTCATATGTAGAAAGAAAAAAGTAAAAATTACAAGAAATCCTATTCCACAGAGAGATTTGTTATTTTAATGGGCCATACTACACAGGCCTAGTTGTATGTTTTTCAGTTTGAACCAAAAACTTAAAAGGGAAACAAACATAATCCAAGCACAATAAACATATAACAATAAACATAATTCAAATTTTAGTCTGGGAATCAGTATTCCTGCCTTCTTGGCTTAAATGGTGATAAAGTTGTGAGAGTAATAATGATTATCTTGTAATTCTATGACCCTTTGTGTATTCAGAGTTCTCAGATATATGCTATCTTGTTTGACCCTCTCAGCAACTTTGAGGGTGGGCAGAGCAATCTTCTGCACTGTACATTTGAACTGTTCTGGCAGTTGACTTCCCTGCCCCACTCCTAAAATCTGAAACAAATCTGTTCATTGTGTTTACTATACGTTAAACCTTTCCCTGGCCCATAACATTGATTCAAGTCGAAATTTCTTAGCAAAGCATCAGGGCATCCAAGCCTACCTGACAAGCCTCCTCAGCACTCCCCTACATCCCAGCTTTGTACATCCCAGCTACGTGTCCTTTAGTACACACACCTGTGACTCTAAGCTACTTTTTCTACCAAAAAAAAAACAAAACAAAGGTCTCTCTCCCGGTTAAACCACTCTCGCTCCCTGAGAAAAATGTACGTATTTTTATCATAGCATAAATTGTCCTGTATTATCATTTATGACCATTTCTGTTTACTTTTCCCATTACCCCAGAGTGTTGGCAATATGCAGCTAAATTCAATTTCACAGATGAGATTTATATCTATGTTAATATCCCAATGTCTTACAGTTTTGTTAGTGCTAAGCATACCAATTTTTCCCACTAGACTGGGAGCTAGAAGGCAGGGTCCGAGTGTTTCATGCGCCTCCACCCTCAAGGCCTGGTGAGATCACGGGAAAATATCCCAAGTTGAACATGAATTAAGTGTACTGCTCGAACACTTCACAGGCACAGATTCTAGTACCTTACAGATACTAACCCAGATTCTTTTTTGAACCCAGGTTGTTCTTAAGTGTGTTTCCAAATGCTCTTTGGTCCGCTTTCTGAAATTCCTGTACGAAACAATAAGGAAACGGAAGAGACCATTGTAGGGTCATTACCTTTGCTCTTTAGTTTCCCTGTCCTCCCACTCACCCAGGGGAGGGGGGCGGCAGCGGGTCTGCAGCGCCTAACTCGTCTCCGCCCCATCCTGCTGGAGGAGCGCTCGCTCGCCGCTCCGGACCGCCCTCCTCCCTCACCACTACAGTGACTTCTCTTCCACCAAGTCTGTGTCTCCTCCCTGCGGCGCCTGCGCTGTTACATCAAGACGGAACTAATGTGGCGACGCTTGCACTAGACGTCTTTAGTGTCCGGTAAGGAAAGAGGGCGACTACAGGATGCGTCACACCCGGAAGCAGAGAGCCGGAAGTGGGGTTGGACAGGTTATCCCCCAGGGGTGGGGATGCGGAGGCCCGGGAAGGGGGGGAGGGGGTAAAAGAAGGTGGAGGATCCTGCTTGCTACTCTTGAGTCCGATACCGATCCTCTTAGACCCCAGAGACACAGAACAAGGGAAGGGTGTCTCATCCGCCTTCCTCCCCTTCTCCCTTTTCTCAGCCTTAGCCATGGCCGAGGCAGGGGCTGGGCTGAGTGAGACCGTCACTGAGACAACGGTTACCGTGACAACCGAGCCTGTGAGAAAAGCGGCGGAGGGTGGGGGGCGGTGCTGTTTAGGGGTCTGGGAGATACCGTGGGGGAGGGGATAGAGTTTTGGAGTTGCTGGAGGGGCTGGGCTTGGGGAATATGGGAGGAGTGGGGTTGAATATATGGGGTTGGGAGAATCGCAGGTCTTGGGGTTATTCGGAGTGGCAGAGATGGTGCAGAAGGACGTTAAAGCGACACGTTCGGATATAGGTGGTGCTGCTTGGGTTGCTGGTGTGTGTAGTTAATGAAGAATGGGAACCTGGGGATTAAGGAGCAAGGGAAGTACTGGGGGGAAATGGAGGACTGTGTAAAAGCATGGCTGTAGGCCAGCTGTAGGGGAATTTGGAAGAATACTTACCAATAAGTATCTGTTAAGAGGATAAATGTAAAAGGAAGCGAATGAGGGAACAAATGAGAAGGAAATGAAGATAGTATTTTGAAAAATCAGAGGAAATGTAAATGGAGAAAAAAGGTAGCATTTTGCAAAAACAGGCTATTTTCAAAGAAAGAAGATTGTATAGGGCTTAATAACACCTGTATTAAGGGAGTTTACAATAATAGTTATCAGAGATTCCAGGATGCTAGCAAGTAGGTGGATAAGAGGTAAGGAGAGCTGGGCTTGAGGGTGAGAGAAGTCAGAATGGAATTCTTTCTTTAATGGGGAAAAAAATAAGGGGTCTGGAAGAAAAGAGTCAGATTAGACATTGGGACTGAAAATAATTTTCGTATATTAATACCACTAAGGATGATTTGCAGAGAAAGACAGAGAAACAGTAAGGGCTATATTTTCTTTTGATGATTTGCTGGGACCTTTCCTAGGTTAGAAATTCTGACTTCTTTGTATACCAGTGGTTATCAAGAACAGGAAATACTACTTTATGATTCCTCAAGGAGGTCAGAGACCTGTTCTATTTCATCTTCTCCCACAACTCAGTTCTTCTGTTGCTATCTGTGATACTGATTGGTCTGGGATAGGGCCAAAAGGAGGCCCCTGGGAGGGAGTGGGAATGGTCAGTCAGCAGGGACTATGTAGGTATGCCTATCTCTATCTCTATTAATCTTCCAGGAGAACCGGAGCCTAACCATCAAACTTCGGAAACGGAAGCCAGAGAAAAAGGTGGAATGGACAAGTGACACTGTGGACAACGAACACATGGGGCGCCGCTCATCAAAATGTGAGTGATAGGTGGCCCACAGTAACCCTAGAGTTCTGCCTCCCATGTGTATACCTTCTACCTTGTCACATCCATTGGCCATCCTAAAGCTCCCAGATGCCCCCAATCCTGTTGTTGCCCTGGTGGTTCTCTGGCATCAGGGAGATGAGGTTAAAGTTAGAGGGGAAAGAGGTACGAAAGGGTTCAAATTGGGATGAGATGTGCCAAGGCTTGAAGGCAAGAAGCATCAGAGGTGGGAGAAGTGAAGCTTTGGATTCCTGGCTCTTTAAAAAGATAAAGGAGAGTTGAATGTCTGAATGCCAGGGGGTGAGCCTGGGAGAGCTGGATCCTGGAAGATAGTAGGAAACTATGGTAGGAGTAGGAATTCTAACTGAGATGCAGTGGGTATGGAACTGACTCTACCTCTTACCCTTTCTCCTATTTAACTGGGCTTCTCCTTCCAAATCCAGGCTGCTGTATTTATGAGAAACCTCGGGCCTTTGGTGAGAGCTCTACGGAGAGTGATGAGGAGGAAGAGGAGGGCTGTGGTCATACACACTGTGTACGGGGCCACCGCAAAGGACGGAGTCGTGCAACCCCTGGACCTAGCCCTACCACCCCTCCCCAGCCTCCTGACCCATCTCAGCCTCCTCCAGGGCCAATGCAGCACTAAATTCCTCTCTCCCCCACCATTCCTGTGTCTATCTGTCTATCTGACCCTGAATGTATTCATGTGGCTACTTGGGGACAAAACCCATGGTTTGATCATTCTCCAGTCCCCCCTTTCCTCTCCCTTGCCTGATAGAGGGAAGAAGGAGAGGAGGGTGGACAGAGATGCTGGAATTCTGATTTGCTGCTATTCTAGAACCCAAGCTTCTGGGTTCCCCAGCTCCCCTTCCTGCTCCCCCCACCCCAATATCCCATCCTCCTATTTCCAAGGATCCAGGCATCTTGGTCCCAGTCTCTTCCCTTAGTTCTCATTGCCAAACTGCCTGTCCTGGGATCCAGTTATCTTTGCCCCCTGCACTCTGTACTTGAGTCCCAGACACTGCTATTGGGTTTCCAACAGCCCCAGCTTTCACTGCCAGGGTCCCAGACATATTTCAGGCAAACTTGCCCCAGCTATGCTTTATTAATTCTGGCTTAGAGCTCTTCTTCTAATGTATTTATATAGTCTGAACTCTTAATCCTTGCCTGTAGTATATAAGGTGTTATGGAAGAGCACTCAGCCATTCTGCTCCACTCCTGCACACTTCTCATACCTTCAAGGGGAGGTGGGTGAACAGTCTTTGCTATTCTTACCTTCAATGGAAAATGAAGAACAGCCATGTCCTCTCTCCTAACCCTTCTCATGTGATACAGGATTTCTGACAAAGCTGGCATCAAGAGTGGTCACTTAGAACTATCTTCTCAGCCTTTGGTCTTCCAGCTTCAGAGACAGATCCAACATAGTCCCAGGTAGCAAAAAGCAGGAGAGAGATGGGGTATGTCCCCTACATTACACCCTCACCCCTTCCTAGGCTTTGATGTCTGCCAGTCCAGATGTCCATCTCCCGTGACCCTCCCCACAACTCACTGGGATCTGAGTATCTTCTCTAGGCCTCTTGCCACTCATACTTGCAGAGATCAGTCAAATCCATACCACCATGGAGATCTCATTTATTGCCACATATGCACAAAATAAATAACCCATCATAAAATGTGTTAAATACAGGCCCATTTATACACATGGGGAAAGATGTGAAGCTATATACAAGGATGCCTTCAGGTTGTATGGAGCATGCCCAGGTTGAGGAAAGGAAAGTTAGCACCATTGGTTTCTTATTGTATGTACTGGGGGTAGTTTAAAGAAGGTTGTTAATGGGAAAGGACTGAACATGGAAAGCATGGTGGAATAGAATCAACCCCCTTCCCCAACAGCCCCAATATTAAGCTTCCTAGCTAATTAAGCCTTTTGTTTTTTTCAGGAGGGTCTTGTTTCCCTTGAGAGTGGATAGGGCAGGAAAGCCCCAGCCTTAAGCTCTGGGGAAGGCACTGGGTATTTGAGAGCAGCAGAAGCAGGAGTGGGAGGTAAATATTTGAGGAGTAGGGATAGGGACTCAGTGTAGTAAACGTGGGCTATTGACTAGTAACACTGGGGCAGGGCCTGTTCCCCAACTCAGACCTGGAGCTGTGTAAAATAGTTGGGGAGACCTGGGGTAGCTGTAGGAGAAAAGCATCCCAAGAGGAGGGGGTGGGGATGGGTTCGGCTTTGGGAGTGGATGTGGAAACTAGAGGCCAGTTGAGGTCTTGGGAGAAAAGAGACAGTTTAGGTGGGTGGGTGGTGTGCATCAATACTCTGGCTGTGGGCACGTGGACGCGATCCCTGCATGAGTAGGGAGTTGCCAGACCAGAAGACGCCTCGCTGAGGGCCAAGCTGGCAGGAGAGCCAAGCTAGCAGGAGACTGGGCGTGGTTGTCAGCCTTCCGCAGGCACGATGCGCAGCGGGGCACGCGGGTCTCGAGTGCAAAACAGTGGGAAGATGCGCTGCCCCAGGGGGCCAGGCCCCTGGAAGGCAAACAGCAGGTCCAGCGAGCGGCCATCGTAGAAGGCCACGCGGCCCCGCTCCCAGTCCAAGTCCACGCGAATTCGCTGTGGTGGGGGCCCGGCACTGCCCAGCAAGGTGGGCTCCGGTGCTGTGAGTGCCCACAGGCGGCTGCCTCGGCCCTCTACTGCCCACACAGAGCCTGCGGGGCACAATCCTACACGGCCCTTGCGTCGCACCGACTCCCCCGCCGCACCCAAGGCATAGTGACTCTCCATGTCCTCATCCTCCCCAGAAGGATCTCCGCATGAGGCGGTGTCCGCGGTCTCCACCTCCCAGCAGTGGCGGCCGGCCCCGAAGCCCTGCGCACCCAGCACCGCAGGCAGCTGATCGAAGCGTGCTGGGCTGTCAGGGGGCTCGGGTGTCCCTGGTGGGGCCAGTCTGACGCTGCGGCGGTCAGCGGAGATGAGCAGGCGGCGATGTGCGGTGCCAGGGTCCAGAGTCAGGTCGGCTGGGAAGCGCAAGATAGGGAGAGGACTAAAGTGAGAAGAGTTTCTGAGTCAGAGATGGGATAGGACAGAGAATACATAGCAGAAGTCACTTCAAAGGCCCCACAATTTGAAAGGTGGCTGTGGGACCAATGAGGGTGAAGTTATATGAAAGGTACAGCTAGGCAGGACAGAATCTGTGGACGGAATCTACTATTTCTGAAGAATTGGGCTTGAAGAAGAACCTGGCTAGTCCAGGGCAGGAGCACAGTGCAGAGATCAAAGGAGAGATGGCCTGGTTTGTAGGGTGGGGGGAAGAGAGTGGCTGATGTGACAGGGGAGGAGGACTGATATCTCAATCTGCAGTATCTGGGGTGGGGCTTGGGAGCTGGGTCAGCAGGATGGGGAAGGTGGATCTAAAGAGAAAGACTGATACCACGTACTGGAACCCCAACTGTCAGAGGGGAGGGGTAAAGGGGAGAATCCCAGGCATCCTGACAAACCAGCCCACCCACTCACAGGAATAAGTGTGAGTGGATAAGCCTATTCCTATAAGAAGAGTGGGACAATTTGGTGATAGCTAAAGGAACCAGAAAGAGTATTGGCTTTGAATGTATGGGGTGCCTTGAGAAAAAACTTCTGGACCCAGGGTACTAGAAGCAACCTGGATTGGGTGGGATGGTGGTGACTGAGAGGGTGGAGCATGTTCTCCAGAGAACAGCTTTGAGAGGGATTGAGGAAGGATCTGCCCAGAAGCTGCAGAGAAGGCCCAGAGTCGCAGGGGAATGTAGGAGTCCCGTGATCCTTCTGGAGAGGAGTGAAGATAAGTGGTGGAAGCAGAGATTCCTGAGAGGCAGCTGACCTCTGGGGGTCTGTTGTGTGAGTGAGTGAAACGGTAAGAGTGGAGAATGGCTGGGATATGAGAAACTGAGGATAGACATTATTATGGGTTGAATTCTGTTTCTCCCAAAAAGACGTTAAAGTCTATTACCTCACATTGTGACTGTATTTGGAAACAGAGTCTTTACAGGGGTAATCAAGTTAAAATGAGGTCACTAGGGTGGGCCTTCATCCAATATGACTGGTGTCCTTATAAAAAAGGGAAGTTTGGATCCAGAGACAAATGCATATAAAGGAAATATAATGTGAAGACACAGGGAGAATACCATCTACAGGCCAAGATACATCAGAGACTACCAGAAGCTAGGAGAGAGACAGATTGTCACAGCCCACAGAAGGAACCAAAAACTGCCAACACCTTCACTTCTACTCCCGGAACTGTGAGACAATAAATTTGTTGTTTAAGCCACTCAATGTGTGATGCTTTGTTACAGCATCCCTAGGACTAATTATAGACATCAAAAAGGGCTTGATTATTTTTGAGGGAGGAAAGGAAGCAAACCTAAAATAGACTCTTACTCACTTTCCTCCCTTCTGCCCTCCTTACCTGTCAGTCTGTGAAGCATGTTTTTGACCACTGGGTAATCATCAGGGAGATTGTCCTCTGAGTTAGATGACTTGGGTGTTGGGGCATCAAATCTGGACAAATGAGGGAAAAAGGTCAGGAAACCAGTAGACACCCTCTGCACTCTGTTGCCCCCTTCGCTACCCTACTTGAATCTCTGGAGCAGGAAGGGGTAAGGCACATCCCAAAAACTACCTGTGAGTGGGTACAAAGATGTGGGCCCAGTGAGATGGTGATGAATATAGCAGCTGGTAGTGGAAAAGGAAGGAACAGTAAAAATGGAACTCACCTTCTCCATGTCTTGCTCATATCCTGGGTGGGCAGAAGAAAACATGGATGTGAGCTCTGAGCATACTGTTGGGAGCCCTCCCCATCCACCCGACTCAGGTGAGCTGGGTCTGAGCTGGTGAGGGCCCTCCCCATCTCTCAGCACATATCCTCTCTACCACTATGCTCTCTATTCCTCTGTCTCACCCTCCTTCATGACCCTTCCTTCCTCTCATCACCACTTCTCATTCTCCTAACACCACCAGGCACTATGCTCCCCTACCCCATTCACTAAGGGCTCTCAGTGCCCAGCGTCATCCATGCCCTTTTTAAAATTTTAATCTTCACCTGAGGATAAGTTTATTGATTTTAGAAAGAGAGGAAGGGAGAGAAACTTCGATGTGAGATAGTAACATTCACTGGTTGCCTCCTGTACGTGCTCCAACCAGGGATCGAAACAGCAACCTAGGTATGTGCCCTGACCCGAAATTGAACCAGCAAACTTTTGGTATAAGTGAAGATGCTCCAACCAACTGAGCCACCTGGCCATGGTTTCATGTCCTTTTCTTGCCCCCCCCCACCCTGCCAGAGTTCTTACCTTTTCCTGCTGCCCCCACAACCCCATTCTCTGTCTCTGACACTGTCCTTATTCACCTTCTTGAGGGTGAATCCCCTTCTAGCCCAGACCAAACACATACTCAGAGCCCTTGGTTTAAGGGTGAGTATATAAAAGCCTTAATAAAGTTGCTCTACTTCTTGCTATATAAGCCCAGTGGCATTCATTGAGCCTTTTGCTTTGCAGTCTCTTTACTCTGGCCAAGGAGGCAGCTAGACTTGGATGTGTTCCAGAAGGCTCAACAGATCTGCAGGGATCCATGGGAGCCAGGAGAGGGCACTGCATACCCCACACCCTCTCCCTGTATGGGGGATTCCTCCTTTTCCCTTCCCGGTCCAGGGAGAGTGGAGCAGACCAGTATGGTGTTGAACGGGAGAGGAAAGGCAATTTGTCTACTTATGCCAATAATACCTAGAATGATTAGGTCTATGTAGACTTAAAAGGGGATTGGGTAGTGGGAGCAAGACCCAAGAGGGCTTAGCTTCTGGGGAGAAGCTGGTTGGGTTAGGCCACGGAATGGGTTTGATTGATGGCCAAGGAGTTGGGCTCAAGAAGGGCAAGGCTGGTGGGTGGGTGATAAGGCTGGGAAGTAGAGGAGCCAGAGGCCCCAAAGGCAGTTCTTCGGACTTAGCCTCCAACTCTGACTGCCCCTGCCTGGTTCTCTGGGAGGAGCTAAGGACAACAATAATAAACAACACTGAGCTCGACTACAGCCTAATCCCAGGATACTGCAGGGACGTTTGGATCCGCTACCCTCTCCCTTCCTCTCTGCTTTACTCAGCACGCTCCTTCCCTGATCCTCCACTGCAGCTTTTTCTCCGCCCTCCCTCGGCCTCCCCCTCCCCTAGGTTAGTTCTGATCTCCCCACCCTCCTCCCAAACCCCCACTTGCTTAGCCCCAGTCAGCGTCCCCCTCCACTGGTTCCCCTCCTCCCTGCCTCCCACTGCTTCCCAGGGGCTCCAGGGGGCCCTAGCATTCGGGACAGTGCCACGGCGCCTTCTCTGCTCCCAGCAAGCTCACAGGACTCACGCATGCGCCCAGCCGTCTCCCCACCCCTCTCCCGCAGCAAAATGTCAACTCCTTCCCCCGTTTTTCCTGCCACCTCTCACTTCACGTAGAGGTCTCGTAGTCATCTCCTGGCCCCTCGACCTTTGCTCTTCTCGCCTCAACTCCATTGTTTGCCTCAACTTCCATAAAGCACCCCACCAGGAGGTACCATTCCCAGCTCCCCTAAGGAACCCACGAAGCTCCCTCTTCCCCCGACAGCCACAAACCCGTGAAGCGCACCCGGGGCCTCACCTCTCCGAATGGGTCCAGGCTTCCCATGGTGGGGATGCGGCCCCCTCGGCGTCTTCCAGCGCGGGCCCCGGGATCGGCCAGCTTCTCTCGCAGTCCCCGGCTTATGCGCACCTCCACCGCCAGCCGCACATTGGACCTAAGGCTGCGGCGGGGGCACAAGAGGCCGCAGCAGGGGCACGCGGTGGGAGACTCCTCGGTGCCTGTCACTGTCGGAGTCCCCCAGCGGCGGGCCAGGCACGCGCGGCAGAAGCTGTGCTCACATGACAGGAGCACTGGGTCCTCGAAGGGGCCCCCGCACAGCGGGCAAGTAGCCAGCTGCTCCAGACGTTCTACCAGCCCTGGGCCCAGCACAGGCGCCTCCATGGGAGGCCAGCGTCCGGATGCTGTCGCTTCCGCGACCCCCTGGACCGCTTTCGAGCGCACAGATGGTGCACCCCTCCTGCTGCTTGCTGAGTTGATGCCCTTCTTTCCTCCTACATTAACTTTCTGACTGTACTCTGCCCCTCTCCTGATATTGTCTCTTTCTTCATCCAGTCCCAGTCTCCAATCTTCCCACCACGTCAGGCTTTATAGGGAGGGAGGAGGCCCCTGCGGGAGGTAAACATCAGGCCTTGCGTAACACCTCATCTGGTTCTCCCGCGTCCTGAGTAAGGTTTGGGGAGGAGGGTGGGAGGAAAGGACACCGGATCCTCAAACCAGAAAGGTGGTCACTGCGGGGGACACTCTGGGGGCAAGGTAGCTGGGTGTGGGGAGGGTAGCCCCCTCTCACCCCCTGAAGAACCCGAATCTCACCTCCCCCTCGGCCTGTGGTGTGTGGGTGGGCAGGGTGCTCAGGCTCGCTTTCGGCATGTGTGCCTACATCGCCAAGGTGTGAGTCATTCCAGGTGGCTGGCACACCTACATCTGGGGGCTGGTGCCGGAAGCACCGATCCTGTTGCGTGTGGCTTTGGCAGGACTCTGAGTATTGGTGTGTGGATATCATTCCAGGTGCCTCTCTCTTTCCATCTTCCTACCTTACCTTTTAAGGAATTAAGGACACTCTGAAGCTTTGGGGTAAGGGGTGGATAGCAGGTGCTCACCCTCCTGCCTCAAGGAGTCAGGGTAGGGCTCTCTCAGCTCTATTTCTGGCTGACTCCCAGGGCCTCTTTCCTTACTTTCTTCCTGTGTCCCTCTTTCTAGTTCTTTCTTTCTATTTTTCCCTGTGTATGATTTTATTTCCACTTTTCTCTCTCTCCTTCTTTGGGATGTACCCAAGGGTTATTTATTTCAAATTTCTTGGTAAACTGAGGCCCAGAGAGTTGGCATCGCCAAGGTCACACAGCAAGAGAATGACTAGAAATGGAGCCATACCCACATCTTCTGTGTCCTTTCTTTGACTCCACAAGTCTCTTTTTTTATTTCAGATCCCTAGAACTCCTTTCTGCTTTCTGATTATTTTCCCTGATCTTTCATTGTGCCCTTTCCTCACCACCATCTTTCTGTCTCTTCCTTCCTTTACCTGCCTCTACCCACCTTTCCTACCTTCCTCTCTGCTCTCTTGTCTTCCTAGCTTCTCCACCTGTCTCTAACCAGGTCTTTCTGTCTGGATACTCTTGGAGGTTTGTGAATAACTAAGCATTCAGATGTCTACTACTATGTCATACACCCTGTTGTACAAACATGCATGTGCACTCATCAATGTCTATATACCCCAAAGTGCACAGACTTACAAACAGGTACATTTACACAATGCAAACATCACAGAGATGCCCAAAGAGTGTCATACTCACAGAATACCATATGGACAAACACCAGGTATTATGTAGGGACAAATAGATATACTCAAAGAAAACATGCAGGGACCCTCTGTCATTAGTTTTATTATCAACAAGAACAACAATACAACAGCAGTATGTCTTTATGGAGCCAGAGCACTATATTAGGCATCCCCTCCAGGCATCCTTCTGCCCCTGCATATTTATCTGGGAGACATTCAAATATGACACCCTGATAAAGAAACTAACACAAATAAACACATGTACACTCATCTTAAAACAAATCTCCCAGCTCAATGCTCATAAAACATGCAGATACCCAAGTGAAAGACTTCAGGTATGACCAAATCTATTATGTAAAAGATGGACTTCTATGTTTTGACAGTGGAATAATGGTCCCTTAAAGATGTCATATCCTAAATCCTGGAACATGTGAATATGTGACCTTATATAGCAGAGCAGAATTAAGTTTTCATATGGAATTAAAGTTGCTAATCAGTGGAGTTTAAAGTAGAGATTATTCCAGATTACCCAAGTGGATCTAAAATAATCTCAAGCGTCCTTCAAAGTGGAGGACAAAAACAGAATGGGACAACCAGAGAAATGGAAGTATGAAAAGCAGTGGGCTGACGTTTCTGGCTTTGAAGACTGAAAAAGGAGGAGAGAACAAAGGAAGTGGGTGGCCTCCAGACACTGCGAAGAACAAGGAAATGGATTCTCTACAGGAGACTCCAAAGAACACAGGCCCTGCTGACACCTTGATTTTAGACTTTAAGAACCATTTCAGACTTCTGACCTCCAGAACTCTAAGAGCTCTTAGAGACTGTCTACACTTGGTTGCCCCTTCCTATTTGTCTGATTTCTCTGAATTTCTCTGCCACTCTTGACCTTCTTGTCTGTCATTTTTTGTCTTTCTTTATTTGCATTTGTTTTCTTGGCTCCATCCCTATATCAAGGTCTCTTAGACTTTGGGTTCTTTTTGGATCTGGGCCTATATTATTGGGGAAATTCCTCTGTCTCTCTGCATGTTTTCTTTGAGTATGTTTATCCCTGAATAATACCCAGTGTTTGTCTCTATGATATTCTTTTTTTTTTAAAGATTTTATTTATTTACTTTTAGAGAGGGAAGGGAAGGGGAGAGAGAGAGAGAGAAACATCAATGTGGGGTTGCTGGGGGTCATGGCCTGCAACCCAGGCATGTACCCTGACTGGGAATTGAACCTGCAACACTTTGGTTCGCAGCCCACGCTCAATCCACTGAGCTATGCCAGCCGGGGGTCTCTATGATATTCAATGTGTACGAGACTATTTGGGTATCTCTGTGATGTTTACATTATGTGAATGTACCTGTGTATAAGTCTGTGCACTTTTCAGTATTTAAACACTATCCAGATTAACCAAACAATCCTGATGCCACAAGAAATGACCCAAGGGAAAAAACTAAAAGTGTTTCCCTGAAGATCAAGAACAAGACAGGGATGTTTGCTTTCCCCACTTTTATTCAACATATTACTGGAAGTTCTAGCCATAGCAATCAGACAAGAAGACATAAAAGGCATTCAAATTGGAAAGGAAGAGGTACAACTGTCATTATTTGCAGATGACATGATACTGTATATAGAGAATCCTAAAGATTCCACCAGGCCCTGGCTGGCGTAGCTCAGTGGGTTGAGTGTGGGCTGCGAACCAGGCATTGCAGGTTTGATTCCCAGTCAGGGCACATGGCTGGATTGCAGGCCATAACCCCCGGCAACCACACGTTGATGTTTCTCTCTCTCTCTCTCTCTCTCTCTCTCTCTTTCTCCCCCTGCTTTCCCACTCTAAAAATAAATAAATAAAATCTTAAAAAAAAAGATTCCACCAAAAAACTACTAGAACTGATAAATTAATTCAGTAAAGTAGCAGGATACAAAATAAATATCCAGAAATCAGTTACACTTTTATACATCAATAATGAACTATCAGAAAGGGAAACTAAGAAAACAATTTTGTTTACAATTGCTTCAAAAAATATTTAGGACTAAATTTAACCAAGGCTGTAAAAGACCTGTACTCAGAAAATTATACAATGCTGAAGAAAGAAATTGAAGAAGATACAGATAAGTGGAAGAACATACTGTGTTTATGACTAGGAATAATTAAAATCATTAAAATGTCCATACTACCCAAAGCAATCTATAGATTCAGTGCACTTCCTATCAAGATACCAATGGTATATTTCAAAGAACTAGAAAAAATATTCCAAAAATTTATATGGAACCACAATAAACCCTGAGTGATCCTCAGAAAAAAGAACGAAGTTGGAGAAATCATACTACCTGATATCAAACTCTACTACAAGGCCATAGTAATCAAAACAGCATCATACTGACATAAAAACAAACATATAGATCAATGGAACAGAATAGAGAGCTCAGGAATAAACCAATGCTTTTATAGTCAATTAGTATTTGACAAAGGAGATAAAATCATACAATGGGGTAAAAATAGTCTATTCAATAAATGGTGTTGGGAAATTGGACAGATTAATTCCAAAAAGAAAAAAGAAAGAAAAAGAAAAGAAAGTAGATCACCTTCTTATACCATACAGAAGAATAAGCTAAAAATGAATTTAAGACTTAAACATTAGACTCAAAACCATAGCAATTCTAGAAAAAAAATGTAGGCAGTGAGATCTTGGACATTTTTTATAGAAATATTTTTTTCTCATAGACAAAAACTAGGGGGAGGGTGATAATGGGAGGGAAGTGGGGAGGGTTGGGAGGGTGGGCTGGATTGGGAGTAAAACGGAGAAAACTGTACTTGAACAATGATTTAAAAAAAAGGAAAGAAATATTTTTTCCTGATGTACCTTGGGCTAGGGAAACTAAAGAAAAAATGAACAAATGGAACTATATCAAACTAAAAAGTTTTTGCACAGCAAAGGAAACCATCAACGAAAATGGAAAAAAAAAACACTGAATGAGAGAACATATTCACCTATGATACATCTGATAAGGGATTAATATCCAAAATTTATGAGGAACTTATACAAATCAGCACCAAAAAACCAACCAATTTGCTTAAGAAATGGGCAAAGGACCTGATTAAGACACTTCTCCTCAGACGACATACAGATGACCAATAGACATAGGAAAGGTTGCTCATCATCACTAATCATCAGAGAAATGCAAGTTAAAAACAAAATGAGATATCACTTTACACCTGTCAGAATGGCTATCATCAATAAATCAACAAACAACAGGTGCTGAGAAAGAGATGGACAAAAGGGAACCTTAGTGCTCTGCTGGTGGGAATGCAGACTGGTGTAGTCAGTGTAGAAAGCAGAATGGAGTTACCTCAAAAAATTAAAAATGGAACTGCCTTATGACCCCACAATTCCACTTCTGGGAATATATCCAGAGAAACACGAAACGCTAATTTGAAATAATATATGTACCCCTATATTTATTGCAACATTATTTACAATAGCCAACATTTGGAAGTATAGCTCAAGTGCCCATTACTAGATGAGTGGATAAAACAGCTGTGGTACATTTACACAGTGAAATACCATTCAGCTGTAAAAAAGAAGGAATCTTACCTTTTCTGATTGCATGGATGGATCTTGAGACTATTATGCTAAGTAAAATAAGCCAGTGAGAGAAACACAAGTACCATATGATTTAATTTATATGTGGAATCTAATTAACAAAATGAATTAACAAAGGGGAGACAGAGAACAGACTGACAGCTGTCAGAGGGCAGAGGGTTGGAGGCTGGTGAGAAGGGTGACTGGATTAAGCAAAGAAAAAAAAGAAAGACTCAATGAACTCAGACAATAGTATGGTGATTGCCAGAAGGAAAGGAAGTGGGAATGGAGAGACATAGAAGAGGGTGAATGAGGGATAAATGGTGATGAGAAAAGACTTGACTTGGGGTGGTAAACCCACAATACAATATGCAGATGATATATTGTAGAATTGTATACCTGAACCCTATATAATTTAATTAACCAGTGTCACCCCAATAAATTCATTATA